CAAGCGTAACAGTTGTTTTGTTTTTCTTAATTCTCGCAGTAGGAAATAAAGAGCTTAACGGAAGATGGTTGTTATTGACATTTTAAAGAATTAGTTTTTAAGTTTACATGCTCCTGTTTATATATATATTTACACGCACGACTTTTTTAAAATTCGATTTCTCAGGAAATATTTGGCCGATTTCGCACAAGTTTTCTATTTTGCTATTTAAAAATATATATTTTTTGCATTCTCTTAGGATAAATGAATTTAATAACTAGGTGGAAAATTTTGTCAATTCACTTACAAAGTAGTTGAGGTTTGGTGGAATGCGCAAAAAGTAAAATTAAAATTAAGGAGTCCAAACTTTGGACCGCTCTCCTGAGGGACCATACTTCTCAGATTGAGGCTATCCCTTATATTTCAGTGTTGAGAAATTCGAATCCATCGAAACAAAGGCATGTTTAATGACAAAAAGAACGTTTTTGAGTCACATTGTTAGTTAAAAAATCGTCTGCACTAACATATTTGAGATCAATCCTAGGAATTATTATGGTTCAGAACGTGAAGATCCTATCATTTGATCAAAAGTAATATAGGGTAGTTCGTTTATTTACTTATTTATTAATATCATTATTATTTTGTGCATTTTACATCGATGGAATTATCATTATTACTATCAGCTTTCATCAATGTAAAGTAAAATGTATTCATTTATTGTCACAAAAGTTTTTTTTTCTTTACGTTTTAAAGCAGAAGCATTAATTTTTAAAGTTTTGAAAAAGAAAAAAAAGAAGGAACTAACATCAAAGTTAGGGAATCTACTTAAAAACAGAGAAAGTTAGCACTGAAAACAATATACTCGGTTTTGGATGTATACGTGTTCCATATGAATAAATTAAATAACAAAAATATCATACTTAAGGCAACAAATAAGTCACAATGTTGCTTACACAGATACTTCATATTTATGAGCGATTCATAAAATTATTCTTAAGCACAATTTAATACTTCATTCGACGTTTTAAAAATGTGTACCTTAGCGCAAGTGCGATACACGTCACAGTTTACTAAACTTGAAAACGATTCAGATGAAATATTTTTTAAGAGTCGTTCCAGAAGTGTGATGATTTAAAAATGGAAAAAGGAAGTGGGAATGAACAAAAGATCCGCATTAATATTCACGCAATGTGATGAGATTGAAGTTCATTTTTGGAAGAAAACGAGAGGCGAAACGTTCCATCTGAAAGAACAGAAATAAAAATGTTCCAAATCGTTTGGGCTCTTAACGGTCTCATGAAAACGATTCGCAGTAGAATATCAAAACATAAACCAAGAAATCAGATGTAGAAATAGAATGCCAAAAGGATCTATCTAAGAGAGTAAGTGGTGCAAAACTAGACGAGTAAGGAGTAAAAAAATATATTTATATTCCCACGCAAGAATTGAATTTTTTTTCTCTCTTTTAAGTAGGTTCCGGATTTTTTCTTCTTTATGGTTGATTGCATGATTGAACGAAAAAAAGTTATTGAAATTATTTCCCACGCAACTTATTTCTCAAAAAAATCGCATATAATTTTTTCTTATTCTATTCCAATTAATTTGTAATTGTTACATTTCTTGATATGCGCGGGAGAGATGCTCGTTGATCGTCAACTAGGATTGAACCCAGGACGGCTCTGAAACCAGATGCTCAAACCACAATGGTCGAGGAGTGATTTTCCAATCCAGCGGCCATTAGCGACCCACTACCCTATATTGCTTTTTTCAAACTAGATTTCTCACATTTTAATTTTGTTCAGATAACAAATTTTAAAATAAATAAAAACGTGCATTATAATTGGGTACCAACTGCAGCCAAGAGGAAAACTCTCCAGGTGGTTAAACGCTGTTGTATGGTAAATCAGCGGCTTCTGCGAACTCAGAAATTTAGACCGCAGTAAATGACAATGTGACAATTACGAACATGAAACTCTCTCAATCCTCGATAGATGGCGGGAATGCACTCTTTCTCTTCAGGAAAGAAAGTCCTAAAGAACCGTGATTAGAAAACACACCAAAACACAAACTTTCTTCCTGCAAATTATATTGAATTGTGCTTGATAAGCTGGTGTTAAATTTTCTTTCCTCTGAGAGAAATTAAAATAATTCTTATAAGACAAGAGATTTCCAAGCAATCTAAATATCTCACAGTAATAAGCTGGAAAATCGAACATAATTACGCTCATCTTAATTCAAAATAGAAAATGGCAACGAGGAACAAATGTCAGTTTTGGGAAGGAATGAGAGCAGGTGCTAGAACACCGCAATTATTATTTAATAACATTACGAACGTTAATTCAGGCAGTTCCAGAGTGGTTACCGTAACCTCTCTGATATAATCGAGAAAACTACTTAAATCATTAAAACTCGGGAAGACTAATTAAAATAGCAGACCGGAAAAGCTCTTACAGCCAAAAATTCCGCCACAGCTTTTCCGTCGCCAAAATTAAATTAAATCAGAGAGAAATGAATAGATCACGAAACCGAAAAGCGCAAGAGGCTTTTGCTCTCTGGAAAATACCAAGCACACTCTCAATCTAAATAATCTGTTTAGAAAATCAAGCAGGCATTGCTGGTCTTAATTCTACTTCCCCAATTGACTAATGATATAATATCCGGCTATTTTCTTCCTTGTTGTGCAGAACTTGTCGCCAAAAGCTTTAGAACAGTAATGAATTGATTAATTGAGAATTAGTCAATTTAAGTTATATGTGGAACCTGGTTTGCTTCAAGCGCCGCTGGAGAAAGTAAGAGAAAGTTATTTCAGAACGGGTTAATTTTTCTTCTCCCATAATTAACAATTTGGTCTCAAGGGAAAGCGGCGATAATAAAACAAAAACTTGGCTTTCAAATTGGCGTAGCGTTAACTTCAGCTTAGAATTTGTGAGTTAGGTAATTAGTTTGTGCAAAGTGTTATAGGTAGTTTGCATTTTGTCCTCGAGGTTCTTGTTTAGGAAAAGAAAATGTGAAAATCAATTTAGTCAATTTCCTTTCAGCTCCAGTTTACGTTTACAAACGCAGATTAACTACTAAACCAAAATTTGTACTTTGGCTGCATAATTATGTATTAAAATTTCAGAAAATGGTTTGAATAACAAAGAGTATTTGCAAAAGAAACACGCCATTCGAATTCAAAAGATTGAGTAGCCAGGAGCCTTCGAAGTTTGTTGTAAATACTACTTCGTTGAATTCCAAAGATCGCTGGTGAACATTTACTGCTCTTGACTTGAGGCTACCACGAATAAATATCCACAGAGCGATAGTAAACAGGTCATAATTTGTCGTCCAGCTAGAAGGCGGTAATGAACATCCAGTTCATTTAACGCAAATGAGGAACAGTTTCAATAGAAATATTCACCAGGAAGCAAGTCTGTTTCAAAGCTTGACACTGGAGTTCTCATGACTTCGGTGTTCGATTCAAAATTTCAAAAAAATGGATATGAAAATTAAGAAGCGTACTTCCTTTATACGGATTGGCTGGATAAATACAAATTTGTTCAGGTTCAATTGGTTTACTGAATTGGTTTTGGGCACAAAACAACTTGGCTCTGCCATTAAAATATTAATAAAACAATCTGTCCTCTATGAGGAACAGTTGGATTATAACTTCAATCAGCCTTGTAAAATACTCTAGTTCTACAATTTCTGAACTTTTCATTTTGTTCTACAAATTTTAAACTTCGCGTTTATTAGTTAAAATAAAAATATCCACCAACGAACACAGAATAAATCAGTAGGGTTAAAAATTCAGGAACATTTCGGGCTGCATTATCGAACTTTGGGAAAAATTAGAATATAACTAATAGAATATAACAGTTAGGTGTTCGAAAATAATTTGAGGCTGCAATTTTGTACTTTGGAAGCAGTTTAACCGCTTCCCTAACTATCACGAGTTAACTCGGGTATGCATATATTACAAATATTCATTACCCAGAGAAAACTCGGGAGTAACAGAATTTATCAGAACGTTTTGATTTATCACGATTTTACTCGGCCGAAAGCAGCAAAAAAAATTAATTCTATGATTGGAAGTTGGTCAAGTTCTGCTGTAGGATTATGGGACTGCGCACGTGTTTTGTGACATTGTATGTACGATAGCTGCTGAATTTGCATAGAGAAAAAAAATGGTGTATCACTTAACTGGTGAAAAGTATCACTTGTTGTTCCTTGTTTTAAAAACTATCATACAAAGACTAATATTTACCTTTTTTCATTTGCCTAAGATATTTCAGAATAGTAAATTGATGGTAAATGAAATGTTCTTTTTTTTTACACGTAAAAGAATTAAAATTTCAACTTAAAATTTGTGTATTATGTTTTGTTTTAGCTCCTTGTATTTACTAAAGAAATAAAAAAAATATGTTGATTTTATATAATTGAAATCAAAAAAATTAGTAAGGGAAGCGAGTAAATGTATGAAAATAATGTCAGTGAGTTAATGCGGTGTTTCGATTTGAACAACAGCAATCACATCACGAAAAATTAAATATATAAAATTGTCTTACCTCTTATAAATGTAATCTATATCATTCACAAAGTTTTTATCTTCTTAATCTAAAAGAGAAAAATGCAATTTTAAAAAATGAGCTATACTTTTAACTTTTTAAAATTTAAAATCATAACACAAACATCAAAAGAAAAATTGTTAAGTCACATTAAATAAACGNTAATATTTAACTTTTTTCATTTGCCTGACATAACTCAGGATAGTAAATTGATGGTAAATGAAATGTTTTTTTTTTACACATAAAAAAATTAAAATTTCAACTCAAAATTTGTGTATTATGTTTTGTTTTAGTTCCTTGTATTTATTAAAGAAATAAAAAATATATGTTGATTTTACATAATTAAAATAAAAAAAAATTAGTAAGGTAAGTGGGTAAATGATGTATAAAAAAATGTCAGTGAGTTAATGCGGTGTTTCGATTTGAACAACAGCAATCACATCACGAAAAATTAAATATATAAAATTGTCTTACCTCTTATAAATGTAATCTATATCATTCACAAAGTTTTTATCTTCTTAATCTAAAAGAGAAAAATGCAATTTTAAAAAATGAGCTATACTTTTAACTTTTTAAAAGTTAAAAACATAACACAAACATCAAAAGAAAAATTGTTTTATAAGTCACATAAAATAAACGCAGAAACTAAATTTATAAATAGAATTACGTAAATATACAATCAGAGAACATCTGATCTAATTTATAAGTACGGTATAGTGCCAAAAAAAAAAAAAGAAAAGAGAATAGGCTGAATAATTGATCTAGTAATCGGATTTTCATAAGCAAGAACAGAATCCCAATGGTTTAAATGGATAACCACAAATAAGATAATTAATTAAAGCAGACGATATATTAAGTAACGGCATCAGATACAAAAAGGTACTTCTCTCTGTATAATAAACACATATATGCATTTTTTATGGATTTGAATTTATTAACCTCAAACTATGCAGGTAGCCAGAATCTAATGATCAATAGTTTGGCTACGACAGTGGACCCTTAATGTTAATTTTACTTTTTGCGCATGTCACCATATCTCGAGAATTTTTTAAGCAAATCAAAAAAATTTTGCAGACTATTATAAAATTCATTTATCCAACGATAATTTCAGGCAAAAATAATTTTAATAATTATTTATTTTTATTAAAGTCGAACAATTTTTTAGTCGTAAAGTATACGAATCTCTACATTATTTTTAAGAACGTAATTTTATACAACAAATAAAAAAAAGAAGAAAGAAATCGACCCAGTGGTTCCTGAGAAATCAAATTTTAAAAATCCGACATTTTTAAAATACCATTTATTTTCTTTTGTTAATGCCAAATTAAATAAGTGTGTCTCCCCACTAGGCAGTAATTTCATGAACATATAAAGACTAGAAAAGGTAGGCAAATGTGATAGCGACAGAAAGACAATAACAAAACAGACAGTAACAAGCGCCCCCTTTCATAATTATAAGGAAAGAAAAAGAGCACAGCCAGCTGCACTTAAATCACAAACCAATATACGACAAAGCATTTAAAGTGAATATAATGTCGTGCTTAGAAGGATGCGTCTAGAAAAAAAAAACACTACTACTTTTAGTGGCAGAAAGTCATTACACCGTTTCTTTAGTCAGCCTTAACGCTTCGTAAATAGAAGTTTATGCAACTTCTCTGCTCTCCACACTTTTCTCCTATCCCTTACCATGGTTTCGATAAACACTACCTTGTCACGGCGTAAGTTTTTCAGTTGTTTTGGTACGAAATTGGATAATACTTGCGAGAGGGGAGTAAGATTTGACGCAACCATGGTAATGGAGAGGGAAAAAAGACATGCTTATTCTATTTACAAAGACTATAAGTGTTAAGCAGATGTCACGAGTCGTAAGTCTTCGATTACTATTAATCATTTCATCAATAGATTCAATGGAGATCACGATGTTTGCTTTCATTCAGTCTGGGTAGATCTGATATTTCCCTAGTCACGAAAGTTTTTACAATCAATTTGTGCTGCTTATGGCAGAATTAAGACATAAGCAGCCAGCATTCGATCAGCAACGTTCATTTTCTGCACTAAAAATTGTACAACTGAGCAGTGCCCAGTTCTAAGCGCAATCATCTTAGATTTAAGTGCTTTCAATAGAACTGGTAAATCGGTCGTATGCAATGTTCTCCCTCTCTCTATCTTTTTTTTTTTTAATTCTTTAGTGACTTCTCTTTTTTCTTTTGGGCAGCAGCACTTACATATTGATTAAAAAATAATATTTAATCGAAATAAGGTGGCAAATCAGCATGGGCGGATCGTGAATTTGTGGGGCCCTGGGCTGAAACTACTTAGGGGCCCTAATATCCATTTTGTCAAAAAAAAACTGTTTTCTATAGTGATGTGGATAAGTATATAGAAAAAAAACAGGACAATAAAATAATTTTATTAATTTTTGTTTATTTATTTTTATTTGTGTACACAAACAGCAACTGTACAGTATTAATGCAAAAGAAATTGACAGGTCATGTGTAGTTATGTTATATAAATTATAAAGCAACCTTTCTGCGTTTTTGTGCTGCAAATTCCTTTATTTGCTCATCACATTGTAAGTCCTTCGTAAGTTTGTTTAGTAAGCTAAACAAGTTTGTCACTTTGACGACGACAACAGAAGTGCGGGGAAAAAAAATTACGTCGGGCGTAATAGACGCGAAAAAATACACTGACCAAAAACAAGCCACGGGGATTTCCCCGTTCCGTCCGATAGACGCGCAGATGCATGGGTTGATTGATCTCAGGGTTGCCAACCTTATAATAGTTTTTTTTTTAATATTAGATATTTTTTTTCAATTCAAAATATCACATATTGTTTTCAGTGGGGACTGGGGCCCTTTGTATTCACGGGGCCCTGGGCTGCAGCCCAAATAGCCCCTAAGTAGATCCGCCCCTGCAAAGCAGGGGTCTGTTTAGAAGGAATTTGGGTCCGTTAACGGACCCTTCACAAAATATCTTTTTATAAAAATGGATCCCTTCACAAAATAATTTATCTTCTAATCGGACCCTTCACAAATTTGTTTATCTTCATTATTGTTTTGTTAATCGAATAAACCCTTCCCAGGAAGGGGGGGGGGAAGAATACAGATGTAAACGAACTAAATTTTGTCTTCGGCAGACGATTCTTCCATTATTCGTCCGAAATGAATATTCTGCGTTCAGCAGTATAAGCTAAATACCAAATATTTATATGTTGCATCGCTAATTTAGTAGCTGCAATTGCTGTTTATTTTTTAAAATTAAATTTNTTTATTTAAAATGCATGCATATATTATTAAAATAATAAATGTATGTTTTTAAGTGTCTGTAGTTATGATTTAATAATTAAAATGATTAATAATAATTATGATTTAATGATAGTGGAAGTAACTGCAAACTTTCAAAGACAAGTGCAACAAGGGGGTGTGATGGCTATTTTACCTTTCCCATATTAATCTATGTATTGGCATCAACAACAAACTAAATAAAAAGAGTTGAAAATAACAAAAGTTTAAGAAATCCATTGTAGAGTTTGGGAGGGAAATAAAGAAGGGTTGAGGAAAGAAAGGGCAAAAAGGGTATGGAGTCTATTACATCAGGGCACTATTTTATTTCAGGGGCAACAGGGTGAATTCTTTTGACAAAAAGGGCAACAGGGTGCTGCGCCCTGTTTACCCTGCCTAGAATGAGCTCTGTAAGTGCACTCATTTAAGTGCTAAGCACAATCATTTAAGTGCTTTCTATAGAACTGGTAAATCGGTCGTATGAAATGTTCTCTCTTTTTTTTTTTTTTTTTATTTTTGTTTTANTTTTTTTTTTTAATTCTTTAGTGACTTCTCTTTTTTCTTCTGGGCAGCAGCACTTACATATCGATTAAAAAAAATAATATTTATTAGAAATAGGGTGGCAAACCAGGGGTCTGTTAAGAAGAAATTTGGGTCCTTTAACGGACCCTTCACAAAATATCTTTTTATAAAAACGGATCCTTCACAAAATATTTGAACTTAAAAACGGACCCTTCACAAAATAATTCATCTTTTAATCGGACCCTTCACAAATTTGTTTATCTTCATTATTGTTTTGTTAATCGAATAAACCCTTACCAGAAAGGGGAGGGAGAATACAGATGTAAACGAACTCAATTTTGTCTTCGGCAGACGCTTCTTCATTTATTCGTCCGAAATGAATATTCTGCGTTCAGGAGTATAAGCTAAATACCAAATATTTATATGTTGCATCGCTAATTTAGTAGCTGCAATTGCTGTTTATTTTTGAAAATTAAATTTCTTTCATTCTAATTTTATAGTGTTGAGCATAATCTTGTATCTATTTACAATTTTTTAAAACTCCTTGAAAAAGTTTTTTTTGAAATAACGGACCCTATTTTTACAAATTCACAAAAGCGAACCCTGGTTGAAAGAATGCGACTTAACGCTTATTTTATATTCACAAATTACGAGCAATTTTTTCACAATTTTACAAAAACGGACCTTTCACAAAATGTCTGGACAGTCCCCCTGCAAACGGTTGTGTCACTAAAACTAGCACGTTCGGGAAACTCAACTCAAACTACACCGATGTCACGTCTGCACCCACTCAATTTAGAATTCACAAGAAGGCACACAAACTCGAACCGTGCTTTAATGAATCGTCATTAACTAGGCATAAAACACCGATGAATAGGAATCGATTAGGTTGTGCCCTTCTTACAATTATAGGTATCGGCGAGAGATCAAATTAGGCTTAGTTCTATTTGGAGTAGCTGGATGACGAGAGATTCGCACACGTAAACAAATTCCATTTGGATTCTGAAAGTCAGAAATAGAGAAGAAAAAAAATCGTTTTCACGGTTAAGGAATTAAGTAGGACAAAAAGAATTATCAAGGGAATTCAAATTGGTTGGACCTATATTGGACGATATATATATATATTGATTGTGTATTTATTATCTAATTTTCAATGATGAAAAAATTCAACAAGACTTTGACATTTAATAATTTTAAATCATTGCACTGTACATTATTACGCTAATTGTAAGATTTTTTTTTTATAGTGCATTTCTTCACACTTTGCTCACGAAACAAAATCTACTATACTCTTATAATAACGTATTGATATGACAAATACTTATAAAAGAATTACTTGAATCGAATTTTGTACCTTCTTAATAATGTTTTATTGTAATTAAAAACTCTGACCAACGAGGACAAATGTAATCACATTTTTAAAAAATAATAATCTCTTAATGTTGTATCCTATACTAGGCGCTGGGACTCAAGATGTTGAATGAATTTTACTTCTGGAATTACGAATGTATGCTGTATAATTTTGTTTTGATATATGTTATTTTATAACCGTCGTTGAACAGCAGACCCAATTTTTTGGGTTTACGACTACTAATGTTCAACTCCACAGCCTTGTTATTTTTAACCCAGTCCAGAAGACAAGGGAGCTCCTGGATTAAGTATTGGGAGAAAATTGCCTCCGTGGAGGACTTTTTGATGGAACTAACGCACATTTAGATAA